CTTCACTGCATTTATCACACAAATAAGGGGTGGAAATACCCAACAATTGTGTTATCGGGAGTATTTACAGCTTTATTTTAATTAACTCTTTTACTTATCGACGCAATAAACTCTGTCTGTCATATATACATAATAACGCGCTATAGAAAATAAGATAAGGGCGAGACCTCTTTTAGAACATTTTCTCCCTTTCCTCTGCTTATATAGGTGTTTGGCTGCATATGTGTACACAGACACACAGAAGTATAGACAGATTGGGATGCTGACTATAAAATAAAAGGAGGAAACGGTACCTCATTTTTCTGTATTAATAACAATACCACCACCACTCTCTGGAAGAATATAGACACGTTGAAAGGGAGGCCTGCAGAGGGATGGTTTAATCTGGGTGGATTTAAAAAATCTTTGCCTTTGGTATAATTTATGGAAATGAAAAGTGCTTAAACAAATAGTCTGCAAATGTTCTCAATGGTGGGCTCTACGGCACATTCACTTTTATTTCCAGGTTATGAGTTTCTGAAAAAGAAGATGAATGCTAGCTACTTGAATTTTATGTTTTTATTGTTCTGATACTCGCTGCTTTCTTTAAAAACCCTGAGGATACAACCTATCGTGTTAACTGTATCAGAAAGAATATACCCATTTTCATATTCTTTTTCCTGAACCTACCAGTAACCCATCTAAAGCAAACTATTAAGCAGTCTTGTGGAGATGGAAGATTGCAGCTCCATTTTTTGTCCTTAGCTGCAAATAGAGGTTTAACTTGCAGTAATTAGGTGAGAACTAGCCAAGCATCTTACTATTATGATGCTTGTTAAAAACGCTTCTTTTCTGCATCTGCATTTGAGTGTGTTCCCCTCCACTCTTAATCTTCTTATGGAAATGAAGGCGAACGGCAGGGAACCTGCAGAGACTTAGAGAATGTCCTTGTTAACTGGAATTTCTCAGCATTGCTAATTAGCAGAGTTTGACGACCACCAGTATTGGGGAAAGCTCTGTTTAGCCACTCACAAACCCTTCCGAGGAAGAGCAGACTAATTTTATTTTGTAATTAAAATCTGAAAAGGGCCCTATTTGACAGTTAGGGCTATGAGAGTTTTATCTCCCTGTGAAATAATTACTGCCTTGATAACTCAATTTTCTGCAAAATGTCAGCTGTGAGCTCCAAAAGTTTTAATTTCATTACATTAAAAAAAAAATCTGAAGACGAAAATGTACAGAGAAATTTCCTCTTCCCCCTCTAATTCTGTACCAGCTCATCAAAAGGGCCCTATTTGACAGTTAGGGCTATGAGAGTTTTATCTCCCTGTGAAATAATTACTGCCTTGATAACTCAATTTTCTGCAAAATGTCAGCTGTGAGCTCCAAAAGTTTTAATTTCATTACATTAAAAAAAAAATCTGAAGACGAAAATGTACAGAGAAATTTCCTCTTCCCCCTCTAATTCTGTACCAGCTCATCACACAGGAGCTAAAGTTAGCCAAGGAAGTTTCACCACGCTAGCCATACCCCTGTCTCTGGGGAATTTCAAATATCACCTGGTGAATCTGCGGTAGCATCCAGAGGGAAAGGTGGGCAGAAATGCCCTTCAACGCTCTAAGAAACACCCACGGCGAGTGGGTATAAACCCACCGAAGGGGCCGGGGTCGGGTGGCTCGCAGGAAGGGCCCTGCGGCCCCGGCCGCCACCAGGCGCGGAAAGCGCGGGATTCCCGCAGCCGAGCAAACACCGCCCGGCCCCGG